ATGGCGAAATGAGACTTGGAAACTGATTTGCCATGATTACTTTTGAAATTGAGTCGTCGACTTTTGTAGAGTGTTATTTTGCTTTGAAAAGGGGGAGGAAGTGCTAAATTGTTACTATATTATGTAGGTGAAAACATTTTGCACATGGAGAGAAAATCTACAAGATTTCTTCAGAAAATGTTTCTTTTGCGAAGTAGTTCACATTATATACATGTAATACGCTCAGACACTGAGCACGCGCGACTCCTAACGCTGCCTTTTGGCAGTGCGCGGACCTTATATTCTTGGACTGACCATCCGCGGCCCTAGATTTATTTGTTTGGCAACCCGAGGCCCACTCTTTGACTTCGTTAGATTTTTTTCTAATCATATTTGATATCCTAGCTTGCTTGATCGAATACTTATCCATTCTTTATATCTCCACACTGCCTTCGTATTAGCATTGATGCTCCCTAAAATTCATAAAAATTCTAGACGAAAAAGAACAATGGAAGAAAGTTCATGAGGTAAATAGAGCATGGAGGTTGATGTGCTGTTACAGAGTTGCTTTCATATTTGGTGTTTGTCAGTGAAGGTAACGTCAATGGGTAGTCTTTTACCTCTTCCACGACTTTTGTTTGTTCACAATCAATACGCTCATCGATAGTTTTATGAGACATCACAATATTTGCCAATATCTACTTACAGAGGTTGTGAATCTTTTACTTTTGGCCGTATGTAGTATGTGTTGTGAATGGTCGTCTGCTAATGTATATGTCTAGCGGCATCATGTCCACGGCTAGCCTCAGGGGCGGGTCGCCGACCAATTCGCTTACGATACCCTCACGCTCTTGATTCTTGAAGCCTGTTTTCGGATAGAATTGAATAGCTACGAGAAAAGCTGTACTCCTCCGCGAATTTTTAGATTTTTCTCTGTAGAGATGATTGAATATCTTTTTTTTTCAATTTGAATTTTATTTTAGATTTTTTGCTTCTGAATGTTTGACATGTGCAGCAAGTTTGTGCCTTCACAAATTGTGTCTACTGCGATGCGTCGAGACTTCAATAGCTGGTTTAAATTACTAATTTCGATTTCTTTCTACATGTTATAAGATTAGAAGTCGAATTCTGTGAGAGCAGATCTCTTTGTAACCATTTACATTAATGAGCAGGGCTCGACACAAGTGGCTTGTAAGCAAGCTGGATCGTTGGGATACAAAGCAAAGGGAATATCGTTTTCGAGGCCGAATAGACACAAAAACTGTGAAGTTCTTTTTAGTCGACGTTTCGTTTCTGAGGGTTTTTTACGTTCGGGGTTTAGGATCAAAGAGGACTTCGTAAAAATTCGCCGAAGTCAAGGGCTTTTTTGCATTTTCCAAAAGCCACCTCGTGCCGAGCCCTGTTGGTGAGTCTCTCAACTTCACCATGATTCTCAACAGTCGGTTAAATCTGACATTTTTCTGTACCAAAGTCTAACAGAGGTTTTGACAAACCGGAAGCCAGGGGGGGGGGTACCAAGGAGCTCACACATCCCGTTTTCTTTGCCCCGAAACCGATTATGCGTAAATACTTTCCTGGATAAGTTGGATCAGTTTTCTAGTCCTACTGCTCACTGACACCTCACTAATCGGTTTTCCTTGAAATTCACCTCAAAATCTAGCTTGGAGCAAAGATCTGTACACTTTCTCGTCTTTGGTCTTTTTGCGAACATCTGCCTCTAACCATTTTTGTCTGGAATCACAGAATTTGAGCCAATTTCATGATAATATAGTATGTCTACTGGGAGATCGAGATGCATCAATAATCGTTTCTTCTCATGTTTATGGAGAATTTCCTTGATCGAACGAACTGTACCCAAAGGAAGTCGCCAAATTCGATTTGCCGCAAAAGCTTCTACTGACTCAGGAAGAAGGTGCATTATTAGACTTTTGATCCTTCACCGTCAGCTCTCAAGATATGACGCAACGTGGGAGTGTCGGAAGAAAATTAGTTTTGAGCGAGCTTGATTTATAAAGTATCTATGCAGACAGGAGTAAAAACTCAAGAAGATGCTCACTTTCCAGTGAGATCTTCCTCAGAAAAATCAATTTCTTCAGCTAGCCATTTACCGTTGATTGCAAATTAAAAGTCTTGCTGCGCTATTTTCACTAGCGGAACAACAAAGTGCAGAGTCGTAAAATATATTTTGGACTTTCGTATGACACGCTAAAAGCCTCTTCAGCGCACTTACAATTCTATTACTAGCCAGTGCAATGAGGGACAACATCGCTCTCGATCACGAATTGTCCTCAAGCTAAAGCATTCTAACAAATACTACCTGGAGAGCTAGAATGGTGGCATTGCCGTTCAAATTTTGGAAGGAAATCGCTGAAAATTTTTTCAGCTGTGACTTTCACAGATAGTTCAAAATTTCAATGGAATTGTAACTAAAATAGAATTACTCTCAATGCATACACTACCGTAGGCTCAATCTGTTACATAAATTTGTTATTTTATTTTGTTGTACACGAGGGGTGGGCCCAAAACAAGAGAAGAAAGTAAACACCAATCAAAAAGGGTTACCAATATTACTAGCTTTTATTGGCCCCAGTCTCAAATAGCAACAATAACTTTGTTAAGAAACTGCGCTCATTGTCTGAGAGAAGAACAATGAGTTTTCAAACATTTAAATGATGTATAGTTTCTTATAAAAACACCACATTTAGCCAAATTTGCATCAGGGCCCTACATGAGTCCGTTTCTAAGCTTTTTGAAAACGAAGTCTCCACCCCCCCCCCTGACTTTCGGAAAATTTTACGAAGTTCCCTTTGACCCTTATCGGAAACGTGCCTGAAAAAACCTAACCTAACTTGTGATTTTTCAGACCCATATGAACGATATTCCCTCTGCTTTTTCGCCCCGAAAGCGAAGTCCAGGCCTCCAGATGACCTGTGCCGGGCCCTGATTTGCATGTGTCAAGAATCCTGAATAATATAAGTATTGAGTGAAAGCTGGCTTGCTGCCAATGTCGCTTTGATATACAGTTGCTACTAATTTTTTCTGTTCTTCAATCTTATAAGTTACTTCAGAGTCAATGCTGGTGCTCGAATGTGAACCTATAGCTTACTAAGTTAGGAGACACCACTTTCTCTCAATTTTAGTCGTGCCATTTGTTATATTGTTAAAATTCATGGAAGCTATCGATTGTCTTGTAATTCGATTGTCTTTTGCACAGGCACTTGGGAATTGCTACATTTGACTAATTACCCAGCAACGAGAAAAAAATTGCTAGCATTTTCTCGGTGGAGGTGAAAACCATCCAACGTCACTGAGTTAGCATTCTAGACCTCGGTTGTTCAGACGTCTAAGAGTAGAATTTGACCGATGAAAAAAATTTATACGAGTTCGAATTTTCAGAAATTTAGCCCACTTTATTCAGCATAGATAGAGTTGCTCTAAACTTTATTCTTCAACGAACTAGTTCAATACTGTCTATCCGGTCAACAGTCTTAAGGATGAAAAAATTGCTTGCATAAATTCTCAGCAAATAATTTAGAAAGTCTTATGCAGCTCGTGCTAATCCAGAATTGACGTTTCCATGATTCTGACAGACAGAAAGAGTCCGGTAGTCGTATGCTTATGCAATTAACACCTGGCCACTTTGCATTTTAGATTGTTGCCATTGCTTGATTTATTTCCCTCTTTTCCAGAAGCCCTGCATTGTCGACGCAGAATTTTGGATTCAGTTTCTGCAGTTTTCCTTTTATTGAGTATCCTAAAAAAGATGATGAAATTCTCCATTCTCTCATCTCAATAATATAGATTTCCAGCTCAAAGTACATGAATACTTCCGCTATTCTCTATTTACTTGTGCTTTTTTTATCGTCCAACACAATGTTCAGAATCCACTGCAAATGCGATGAAAGTTTCACGTAGAAGGGAAAAGTTGTAAACAAAAACAACAAGCTGTCTTCCTCAGACATTCACCTTCGCATTTGTTAGCATTGGTCGATCCTAAACCGACTAACTATGTTCTAGACTCGAATAATACTCTTAGCTTTTCTCCGTTAACATGCGTGTTTTCCTTCTTGACGTTCTTAATTGTGAAAAATCTTATTTTCTCCCTCTTTCTCACTATGCAAAAACTTTTTCCACTATACCATTTGTCCAGAAAATACGTTGGCGGACGACTCAAAATTTAGTTGTTGCATCAAAAAGTTTACCAAGAAAGTTTGGTGCCTTTAGAAAGGACTTTCCTTCTTTCTTCGAATAGTATATATCTTTTATACTCAACAAGAAATTCACTGCTTGTGAAGTGACCGATTTGAGTGGAGATGTAAGTAGACTATGGCAAAAATGAAAAAGACAAATCAGAGACTCACGCAACGTGCTGGATTATTTTGTATGACCAATTGCTAGAAATAGCAAATCATTTTAATAGCTGTTAGTAAAAGTTATACACCGTTTTAAAAAGTAGATCATAAGTTACAAAATGATATATGATACGTATATAGTTACCGTGTACTAGTGAAACAGTAGTTGAAGGTGCTAGATCGCATCCGCGCGCTTCGGGACCCCACCGCGGTTTCCCGCTATCTGATGTTTTTTGAATTGGTTTACGATTCTATATATATTAGACGCCTTTATTTCTCGTTATTGAAATCCAAATAAAAAATTGTAAAATTACTACATATATATCCCAAAAACGTAATTTTGGTACACATATGTAGTAAACAATTCCTACGGGTTGCTATTCGTAGAGACGTTTTAAATTTGTTTCTCTTCTTACAAACTCAAGACCATTTTTCTTCTTCCTTGTTTTTCGTATTTTGTGTACTCTCACATCTCATAAAAGTTCTTCTTCCCGGTACGACCGACGTTATTCGATGTTTTGTCTCGCTTCAATGACGGGATATTACGCTTAGTACAAAATGCTTGAGCTTGGCCGCTATCGCTTTCATGCCGTCCATTAACCTCGAAAAAACAACCCGAAGGAAATAAATATTCTGCGTGTTTCAATAAATCTTCTTATCACAGAGCCCTGAACGCCGTCTGTGAGAATGGGGGACGAAGGCAATCTCAGTGTGCCGACGTTCGAGCAATGGATGGCTTTCTATAATGACACAAAGGAGTTTGAACGAAAAATTGGAATTATTATTCCTTCAATTTTTGCCGTTGTCATTGTCATCGGAGTGGTTGGAAATCTGCTCGTAGTCGTTGTAGCATTGAATCGAGCCATGAGAAACTCCACCAACACCCTCATAATAGGTAGGTTTTTTCTAGAATTTCCTTTTTTCTTTTTCTCGGCTCAAATGCCTTCCTCCTCTTCCCTTAAGAGCAGCCACAAACACAATTAATGCAGAGTCGGAGGGGTGAGCGATTCGTGCTTCCGGCTCGTATCTTTTCTCACCTGAAATGTCTGAGAGGAATCACTGAACGAAAAACATCCTGTTGAGAGTGTGTAGAATACAGATTGCACAAAGGGATCGACGAAAATGTGATAAAGTAGCCGAAATCGAGTAAAAAGAGTCTGGCATTTTTGATAGCGTAGATGTGTGCTGTATCACCTTTTAGTGCATCCTCAGATTATGAAACTACATCATCTTGAAAAATCAGCTTTGATTGTAATTAAAGCCTAGAGAGGAGCTCTACTACCGACAAAGTCCATTCACTGCAAGTAATGCCAGAATTTATTGTTACTTTTGTCCTTGCTATTGCTGAAAATTTCACAAAATTATTCTGTTGCTAACTTCACACATTTGCTTTCTCTTCAATTTCCTTTAGTGGCGAACAAAGGCACTGTGAAACTTGTTAAAGTAGTAGTCTAGTCTATGTCAGCTACAAGATTGTTTAAGAATGTCATTTGCATCCAGATAGAATAACTTTTAGACCTTTTGAGAATGCAAATTAGCTTTGTGAAAATTTTTGCTTCATCAAGGCGCTGGAAAAATCAGCATCCCGAAAGCATTCATAAACTCTTCTGAGAATGCAAACACCCGCTTCCATGCGGAAAAAAATTTTGTCATTCCATGTGCTTTCCTCGAAACAAAAATCCTCTGATTGCCGCCGTCTCCACACATCGTTTTCAATCTGAAGTACTTTGGGTATGATTCCAGAGAAAATACAACTCTTGTGGTAATGACACACACTGAAAGTGACTGCACTTTTCACAAGATCACTTTTTTATACTAAGCGAGCTCAGAGAAGATAACTCTTTTCAGGAGACATTCCTAATTGGTGAACAAACTTGAGAAAGTCGCGACATTTAATTTCTCTCAAGAAAGAGATATTATCAGAATAAAGCTTACCCTTTTGTTTCTCTTTCAGATTGTTTTCATCTTGAAATAGCAATGTTCGTGATAGAGAGTCGTCCAAAAAGTTGTTCACCATTTGCGCATCACAATTGTCTGAATCGCATGTACGCATTCTATAAATCTAACATGAAGCATTCGAATGCTATTATCATATTGTTAAGGAAGGAATAAAATTTTCTTTGAACAAACAATTAATTCATACTAGAAAGCAACAAAAGTTGTGCTCTGACTTAGAAACTTGCAGCTTACTTTGTTCACTAAAGTGATGCAAGACGAGTATTCTTTAAAAATGATTAATAACAGTCATTGCGAATTAGCACACTGCAATCATGATTCCGAAGCCATAATCTAACCGTCAAGACTAGAAGTAACGGCGATCCCCTTGACCGAGAAAATTTTTGGTTAATTCATTGAAAATGCACGTTTTACTTTGCCGACGTAAAGCTATCTCACAAAGCAATCCCCGTTAATTACTGCTTTATCAGGATTACAGATTCTCATCCGTTTTGCAGTCCTTTTCCGGGTTCATTTGGTTTAAAAGCAGCCGCTTCTTGCACAGAGGGATTTGCGCAAAAGTTGCTCTGTACAGCTTATCTGATCCATGCAAGATTTAACACTGAATCAATAAATCACAGTACGGTTTTTGAAGAAAGTTATAGAATTGCTGTACGAAATTGTCTAAAACATTGAGATGACCAGTAATGTGAAGACTATAAAACAAAGTAATAAAAGAGATAATGTTCTTCTGAAGTCTTATCAGCATGTAGTATTTCCCGAATTCCAACGGATCTTTGCCACTGACTTTCTGACAAAATTTTTGGAGGAGTGGGACGGGAGCGAAAACATCTCCGGGAATCTTTTTTATTTTGAAATTCAAATTATCCAAATGATTTCAACATGAAAATAAGCCACTAGCATAGCTTTGTAGCACATTTGAAACACTTTCTAGCGAGATCTGATGGGGAAATGCGATCCCATTCTTCGGTGCAGAGGCTTTATATGTTACTAAATTGGGATTCGGAGTAATATCTCAAACGCAGTTTTTCTGATCTAGCGAAAGACTTTCGGAGTATAACATTTATAATTACGTTCTTAGGAAGAGGATGAAGGCTTTCTATTTAGTCTCCAAGGTACTTTGAAAGTCTTTTGTTTAGGCTTGGCAATTTCCGATCTCATGTTCCTTCTACTTTGTGTTCCATTCACAGCTATAGACTACGCTTCACCTGTGTGGATCTTTCCAGAATGGACATGCACCATGATTAATTTCTTCCAGGTAATCTCAACTGATTCTACGAACGTTAATCTGAGTCAGTGCGCTGGGAGTCAAAAATAATTACTCGATACACTTGGTTTCTTGCTTTCCATTGCCCTGTAAAAGTTTTAAGCAAATGGTAATGAGAAGATTCATACAAGAATTCAGTAAAAGCGTTTCAAGTGCAAAGGATAACAGTAGTGATATTGTCATTGGAAAACTATTTTGCAACCTTCTTTTTTCTTAATTTTGTTGATCGAATTGTTTTGCGACTATGAAAAATTCACGCATGTTTGTGTTTTTTTTTTGATTGATGAAATTTTTGCTTTTGCAATTTTCGGCAGTAATAATCTTGCAACCAGTCCATGACATCGTGCCGATATGAAAACATGCTCAGGATTGTGAAATTCGGATCTTTATGATTATGGCACATTTTCGAATAAAGAGCTCTCCGAATGAATTAAGAAGTCATTCCGCTTAATACAAAGCAGCATTTTTCATCAAAGTGTTGCACAGCATTATAAATCGTTGCTGTTGAGAAACCTAACGAGCAGAATGGTGTCAAAATAAGATAGTCCAATTACTTAACCCATTGACGACCATAGGGACCACCGTGTGGCCCACGCACTTTTTGCTGCCAAAGCGGAGGCCGTTCCTTTCCGGGTCTAGTACCTTTTCCATTTCTTTGCACTTGGGGCAATCTATAAGGCGTTTGAGACCTGTAGACTGTATCTTCAAAAAAATAGTTTCCAGTTGTTTACAAAACAACCTTACATCTCGTAAATAATCACAAATAGTTCCCACACCGGAATGTTGTGCGATATCGCGTAATCCCACAGCGCCTTCACGCAAAATCAGGCGTCGACGTCAATGGCTTGATTCTTTACAAAAGGCTTAGAAGGAAAGTTCTGGTGCCGGTCACATCAATGAATGTTACTGATATTATAATGATACAGCTTTGTTCTCTATTTCTGCAGTAGATTGGAGAGAATCACGTTTCCATTTCTACCGGGGAATAAATTTTCGAAAGGGGAAAAGCAGCGAAGAAAGGCGCCAGCAACTATCCATCTCGGAAGAAAAGATTGGCAAATCCGCGGGGTGAGCGGAGTTTACAAAAACTTTGATAGAAGTAAGGAAGGACTCAATTGAAAAGAACTAGAGACCTGTGAGTGAAGGCTACACAGAGTTTGAACTTTTTTGTGGGTTTTTGAGCGTTTCAAATGGTCTGATTACATTCTTGAAAACAGTAAAAACACGTTGTTGCGGTTTGCCTGGCAAAATTTATGAAAAAAACCTTTACAGTAAACTTTACAGTAAAAATTTTCATATTTTGCAGCCTGTTGAGTACCCATCCTTAACCAAAATGTGGCCATTGTGGCTTAGAACTAACCTCAAAGATCTAACCGTAACCTTACAATGAAGAGCGAGGGGTGATTTGCTCCGTATTGCAAATGTAATTTGGAGCCTGCTCTATTGATTGGCACTTGCTAAGCAAAAAACTTTTTGGGGAAAGAGTTATTAGCGATTGGAAAGTTGTACTTGCTTTTTGGACACCCATATCAAATTATTATTTACGAAGATTCTGTCCTACTTATATTCACTTTAATAGGTAACTATAATTTTGCATTCCAGTCGCAGAAAATCAAATAATTTTGCATTCCAGTCGCAGAAAATCAAATAATTTTGCATTCCAGTCGCAGAAAATCAAAATCTTTATGAGTTTTATCAATTACTGCGACCTTCCGTACGATACTGCTGAGCGCATTAATTTCGAAACAGTGAGAATGGCTCTGGTCCAAATGCAAAACACAGCAAAAAATTCTGATTTTAATCGCGGTACTTATTGCGAGGTGAGAAATCTTTCGATTATTATTGTCATAGTCGTTTCAGCACATATCCGCGTACTGCTCGGTTTGGACGCTTACTTTGATGGCATTGGATCGGTACCTTGCTGTCGTCTACCCAGTAGATTCTCTCACACTCCGATCACCAAAGAATACTATCATAATTTTAGTTGTTGTTTACACGATAATAGTCGCAACACAGGTACGTACCATCCCTCTCATTGAGCTACTTCTAGAATCTCCCTGTGCCAGCACCGCGCTAGCGCTGTGCCAGCCTCACATGGAAGCTCCCCGTATCGATCCATCGACGAAGCTGGCACGGCGCTAGCTTGGCGCTGGCACAACTCTGAATGCAGCCGTAGAGCGACTTTCTAACATTCTTGTTTAAACATTTCAGGTACCAGTAGGCCTTATGCACGGTATCTACACTTACACATTTATAATAGAAGAACGATCAACCTGTGCTATAGTCAGCATAGCCACGAATAATGCCACACTTGCCGTGGTAAGTTATTTCTCGTCAGAGTCGATTATGATGCCAAATGGTGTACATTTTGAGTGATTGCACGCGAATTCTCCTAATCTCCGAGGATAGCAACTTTGACGTTCTTTTTAAAAGTAATCAAAGGAAATTTTGTGAATACATTGACAGGTAAAGAACCGCTCCTCAGGAAGCCCCAATCACTCTCAGAACGAATTGGTCTTGCGCATTGGCAGTGTTATGGCAGCAAAACTGATGTGCACGCGTGCAAGGTATAATAGGAGGAAAATTTGAGAGTTATCCTTTTGCAATTTCCCACCTTCTCTATCTAGGCGTGGCGCCAAGTTTTAACACTATACAGGATGTGATGTAAGCTGCGAATCTGCGTAAACTTTGTGGTTCCATATAAAATACTAAACATACCACGAATTTCGCCGAAACTGGTGAAGTTTGAGGTTTTACGGTTTGAGAACAAAAATGAGGCGGCGCAAAACCTGCATCAAGCATATCGACGAGAAACGGTGAATAAGATCTCTGAGGTTGTCCGATTAACTTCATTATAAGGAAATTGGAAATTCGATCGAGGATCTAGCGAACAGTAAGTTGTGCGTGTACACTGCCTTAAGAATGTGTGAATTTGTACAGAACTTCTACGATGGGGTAATTTGGAGACCTGCTGAACATGAACATCGTGTACAATTTGTCTTGGTGGTCTTAAAGCACCTATAACAACTTACAAAAAAAGGTTTTATCACACCGAATGATTATCGTTTCAGTGATCATAATCCGAATACCCCTTGGACCGGGTTTCATCCAATCTTAAAAAACTTGTAGCTTGTCCCATACAACTTAGCCCCGTATATTAACTGTAACCCTTCCATGAGACAACAGAATTTGCCAAACAAAGTCTACATTTGCAGCTCAACCCATAATTCTATATAATGTGAAAGAATGAGTGCGCCATACTCAAAACTGAACAGTTTTACTAACTCTTCTCAGAATGTTTCCGAATGAATAGGTTTTGAACCCAATCTCGTTCCTCTGGTTCACATACTTATTGCAACATGTTATTATTAAAGTTCTACAGGCAATATTTCTCAAAGCAAACCGACTTTTAGGCTCGGACTTACTTTATCACTTTCAATGTCTTCGGCTACATCTTACCTCTTGGAATCTCTGTGTTTCTATATTGGAGGATGCTACGGCGGCTCTGGGACACCCCTCGTCCTGGAAACGGGAACGCTGTAAGATTAAAGATTTACACTACTCTATAGTTGCTTCTGAGACGAAAGCCTTAAGTCTATTATCACCGACTGAGTGACTTACTTAGGTTAGAAAATCGACAATAATCGCCACATTTTAGATGAATGGTTCACTACGATCGCGACCGGAGAATCGGAGAGCAAAACGGAAAGTCACTCGTTTGGTTTTATGTGTTTTAGTAATATGGGCATTTTGTTGGTTGCCACTCAATGTGTGCTTCTTTTTCACTGGTAAGTATTCTATAACATAAGAATTTTCGAATATTCCATGTGCTTTCCAGGAATTTGTTATCCAGAGACTTTGGTTATGAAAGGAGGAGTCATAATGGTCATAGTCCAAATCGCTAGTCAGGTTCGATGATCGCTTTTCACTCTCTTTCATCCTTCGCTGGAATTTGTTCATAATCACATTCTAGGTGCTTGCATACACAAATTCATGTCTAAATCCAATTCTTTATGCTCTCATGTCAGAAAACTTTAGAAAAGGTAAATACCGGTTCTTTTAGCGCTTGAACAAGCCTATACGTACTTTTATAGGATTTATCCGGGTTATATGTACCATTGGAAGAAAGTTGACAATGAACAGGTTCTGCTTGAAAACAGATAAGGTAAATTTTGTGACCTACGAAGATTTAAGTCCTCAAATAAGTCTTTAGCAACTGCGGTTGGAGTTCACTACTTGTAATAATACAACAGTGAGCACATCGATCAGACGATTTCAAGCGCCTGCGAAGAAAAAGGTTGGTCTATCCATCAAAGCGAACTAAATAATACCTTTTGGTGAGGAGCATATTCATATTTTCTAAGAGAATGTTGTAAATCGATAGGTCAGAGCAGATGCTGCTCTTTATCTGCGAATTAGCATTCAATAATAACGAAGGTCTACCAAATTTCTTATGCATTGTGTTTGTGAAGTTTTATCCACACCCCCGTGTTTTGAGTAGCGCTTGTATCTGGGATATGAGGAATTTTATACTGAAAAGTTTTTGTGAATAGAGGAATGTGGCTTAGCTATCTACACCCAAGCATTCTAGAATATAATACCGAATTCTCGAGAAAGGATGGCTAAGTTACCCTAGCAGCGGTAGCCACGCTCCACAAAATTTGCTAACTTACATTTCCAATTGGAGGTAGTTCAGTTTTTGCAAGAAAAAAGAGCTCCCTTACGCAGTTTTATAACTCATGGGAAAGATAAGGAGCGCACTTTTCGTTAAACTACATAAGAAACCTGTGTTTACCTGTGGATGATGAAACTTCTTACACGAATTTTACAAAAATTCGAGTTGGTTGTGAAGGGAAAATTTTTTGGGGGGGGGGTAGCTAATTCACTTCGCATAGTTCAACAAACATGTCGGTACCTTCGCATAGTTCAACAAAAATTTCGACACCTTCCCGCTCTTCCCCCCTCCCCCCTCCCCCCCCCCAAAAAAAAAACTAATTACCCTAGCTTCACGAGTACAAGGCGCATATTTTTCAATCTCTCAAGCGAGCCGCTCAGCCGCGTCGCTGTGTTGTTTCGGAAGAAGAAGCTTATGCCGAACGATACCTCCAGGAAATACGCAGTATAGGGGTCCTGTCGCGAAATTTTTTGGTGTGTTCAGGCTGGTCGAGTTTCGTAAAAAAAAGGTGCATATTGTACTCGTGAAGTTGAGTTTCGTAAAAAAAGGTGCATATTGTACTCGTGAAGTTAAGGTGATGTGAAACTTGCAATTTGTACATCTTACTCTTTCAATGTGGTGTAGGTACTTGCTAGTTTTGACTTGATTATTTTCCTATTAGGGATTCAGCGAACGAACATTGCTGTTGCGGAATCGTCCGAATACATCCTCGCAAAAGAAGACATTTGAGATGACACAGGTTTGCCGTTGATATTGCCTCTTGTAGTGCAGAATTTTAGCTAGTCTGAACATTTACGTATATTCTGTGTTTTCAGTTTTCACGCTCGCCATCCTCGAAAAGTTTCAACCTGTGAAAGCCTAAACGTTATATACGTGTATGAAACGGGCCACTATGATTCAGCATTCGAAAATTTTCTGGAGATCTGAATACGCATGACCATTGTGTGCACATAATGTTGAATGTGAACTATGTAACTGTGATATAAGCATTAAAATAATCACATACATATGTCTGTGCTGATTTTTCAGCAATGCCTTTCGTTTTTCTATCATCTACTTATGAATTTTGGAATTTTATTCTTTCCTAGCTTCTCTAATCCGATGTGCACACCAAAGAAACGCTTTCGATTTTTTCCACTATTCTAGTCCATCATTTGTTCCAAAATTTGTTAATGCCCTGCTTGTTTGTTCACTTGCAATTTGAATCTTACTTATTGACGATCATATGAAATGAAAGTTGTTATGGATAGAAATTGTTGTGAAAAATTAAGGGTATGGCTTGCTATTATCTCTCTGAAAAGCAACTTTGAAGATGCTGCAAATCGGTTTTAGAAGGCAAAGTATTCCGTCTGAACAATGTGCTCGATAGTTCAGAGACAGGGCTTCAAACGTATTCGTTGGTTCTTTACCTCTCATTCACTTAATTTGTCGGAGTATTTGCGCTAAATATTTGCAGCGGTTTCAGCCAACATGAGATTTTTTACAGGAGAACAGACTGCGTGCCAAAAAAAATCTATATTGTGTAGTGTGTTCTGCCAACCAGGTTTTTGTGGTGATCTTTATTGTTGACCTTACTTCTCGCAAATATCGTCTTCTTCGGAGGTCTGAAAGGGGATGGCGATTATATTATCTGCTAGTCTATACGAGCAAAACGCCTCATCAGGCTTGCGTCGTTTGTATCTTGTCGAGGCCCAATGTGCCGAGAAACACTCCAAAATGGATTCACCAACCTCCAGTCCACTGTAGAGTCAGTAGCAGTTTTGTTAACAACAAAAATGAACGCGTGACAAAAAGGGCCGATCTCTTGCCTCTTTTGTCACTATGTGACCTTGAACCCAAAATATTTACAGTCCAGGACTCACTGAGCAGTCTCAGTGATGTCAGTCACATTCGACTGACTCCAGGTGGACTAGAGGTTGGTGAATCCATTTTGGAGTGTTTCTCGGCACAATGGGCCTCGACAAGGTTCAGACGACGGAAGCCTGATGAGACGTTTTGATCGTATAGACTAACAATGGCAGAACAACACTATACAATATTTGATACATCATGCCCAGGTTTAAATAAGAGAGTACGCGGAAATTCATAGGTCGGTTTAAAATTGTGACGACGGATTTGACTGCGGTCTTTGCGCCCACAAAAAGAGAAAACACTCATACAAAAAGGCACACCTCAACTCTCAGCTTAGTAACTTTCGATGTCTAAATACTGTAAGCAGAAAAACCATTTGAGTAGAGACGAAAACCTAGAAAATGCGGTTGCCGGGAGGTGCGTGCGTGTCGCGCGCGGTCGCGCGATCGCCACGATTTTTCGAATGCCCTATACTCCTGCCATTTTTGGTAACCCTCCTTCCCCATTCATCCTTGTCAGTTCTAATTCCGCAAAGGAGAGAGTTTTCAAACCTATCAAGGTGAAGTAACTTGAAGGAGGTTGAAAGAGAAGATTTTCTCGTTTATTTTGAGTCGAGATCATCTGAAATAGGGGAACATGTACATTGAAAAAAGAAAAGAAAACCGTGAGCTGCGGCAGAAATTTGCAACTTACAACGGTGAAAGTAAACCGGAGGAACACTTGAGGTTTGGAGGAACTGATCCGTTCACAGCGATTCGTTCACAACGTTTTCAAGAGAATTCTTTCCAGCAGAAGAATCCAATAAAAGGCCCCATAGTAGAATATACTGAGATTGTTTTACATTCAAGTTCTTCATCGACATATATCTCAGGGTTGTAATGCTTGTATAGCTCACGAGGAATTGGTGGAATTAACCCAGACATTCCAAACAAGTTGTACATCATCGAACTCGTCGTGAAACGGTGATTTCAAATATATGTTCATCATCTGCCAAGAGACTATATGAGAGGAGTTATGCGCGTTCAAATACGAAAAATTCCTCGAGTTTCGTCTAGTATGTTTCCTTGAAAGGCAGCCTGATGGCGCGGAATTACTATTTGGCCATGGTTATTTCAATTACAAGGAAGAAGCAAATTCACCAAAAAACCAAAAAGTGTTTTTGGAACCTATTCCGTGAAACATGCTCCACGGAACACCTGACATATCGCACATTTAAACGCTCATAACTCCGCCCAAATAGCCGCTCGGCGGATATCAAACGTATTAGGTCGGTCCGAAAGTTCGCGCTTTTTTCAGACCCATGCTCAAACCACTCAGAATGAAGATAGACAAAGGTTGTAAGCACTATCCGATGTAGAATTTCTTCCTCTTTATAATCGTTATGGTTTTGTTTAGATTCTCTTAATGACCGCTTAATAATCGGCAGGATCTCCAACCCATGATTTTCACCCATCCTCAGTTTGGCTAATTTTTGAAATCTCCATTTTCAGCTTTTGGATTGGCTTCGATAAATTTGGATAGAATAGACAAAATGCAATACATTACATTTTTCTGGCATCTCTAGCTGGCTTCTCAAAATTTTTGAAATTATTTTTTGATGCCATCAGATTCTATCTTTGGGCATCTCAATCCTCAGAGAACAATAAACGACTAGCAGCCAAGGTGTCATTCGATGTCATTCGATTTTTTGAAATTTCCATTTTCAACTTTTGGGCTAGCTTCGATAACATTTGCATAGAATAAACAAAATGCAATACAATGAATTACTTCGGCCTCATTAACTTTGGTGTGTACCAAGTGAGTAGACGAGTAGTTGTGGAATAGGTTTGTTCGCACGTGACGTAGATTTGGACAGAGAATATCGAAGTGTCCCGGTGTGGACAGGGGAGCAACCTCTAATACATTCGGAGGCTCCTTATATATGAAGGAAGGCGGAGCTGAACCGAGTACGGGGTACAATGTACACGAGTTGGTGCTTGAAAGTAGATGCCGCCGATTGGCTACACTCCTGACGCGCGGGTACCACTCACTCTTGAGTGATTAGATACTCAAAAGTGAGTAGCTCACAATTTAGCCTACGATTCCGTAGGGTATATAGAATATAGAGTTCATCAATGGTTGATGATACAGAAATCATCAACATCAACTAACTCTTCAGTATTTTTTGAGATAATTTTTCCAAAAGCCCTCAGTTTTGCGAAGTAGCGAAATACACAATTGCTTCAAACACTAACATATCTTGCAATTTTAATCTTCCAAAAACAGATTATGACTTAGCTCTAATCTTAGCAAGCAACTGAGCGTTTGGCGGTTCGAAATTTTGAATTCCGAATTTTCTGAGTATAAAGATTTTATCCTCGAATATTATACAAATCAGGAAGGAAAGAAGTCTCTCAGAAAGAGGAAAAAGCTGCATCGAATGACACCTCGGCTGCTAGTCGTTTATTGTTCTCTTAGGATGATTGAGATGCCCAAAGATAAAATTTGATAGCATCAGAAAAATATTTTCAAAAATTTTGAGAAGCCAGCTAGAGATGCCAGAAAAATGTAATGTATTGCATTTTGTTTATTCTGTCCAAATGTTATCAAAGCCAGTCCAAAAGTTGAAAATGGAAATTTAAAAAAATAGCCAAACTGAGGACGGGTGAAAATCATGGGTCAGAGTTCCCTGCCGACTATTGAGCGGTCATTGAGAGAATCTGAACAAAAACAAGACCATTAAAGAGGAAGAAATTCTGCATTGGAAAGTGCTTGCAGGGTTTGTCTATCTTTATTCCAAGTGGTTTGAATATGGGTTTGAAAAACAGCGCAAACTTTCGGACCGACCTAATATATCTGTTATCAGCATTTCAAAAAAGTCCGATGATATACAGCATGTTTGCTAAGGCTGGATCAAGTTCTGCCCATTTCCTGCTCAGCTTTGGGAGCTTTTTTAATAGTGATTCAAGGACATACAGAATTCTCGGTAATCTTCCTATGCAATCTTATTTGTTCAGAAATTTTATTAACAAAATGCCATACACAAATACAAGTTATGTATATGCAACTTGGATCCAAGCAAAATATATTCCAAAGTTAGAGGTCAAAGCAACATCAAGCGCACGAAAATATCAAATAAATACTCATGCTCAAATTAATGCTGAATGCTGAAATTCCAAATGCATTGTTGAGTAAAAACAAATGGATAAAGATTTGGGAAACTAGTCGTGACTAAACCTATTTGCTAATCATGTACTTTGATTGCATAAACAAAACAACAATATTAAATGAAAGAAAATCTTGGAATCATGTACAAAAATAGTAAAGCACAAGAGAATGATAGATGATCTAACGATTTGGTTTCGCCACATTTTTCCCTTCGAGGTAGAATGTAGTACACTCGCCCTTTCCCTGAAAATGCAGCAGACTAGTGGTTATAATGTTATGTCATTGGGAGAGAAGTTTAGACAACTTGGTAAATTATACAAAAAATTTTCCTAGTTTGTAACAGCAAAGTGGAAAGAAAAATGCTGGGCACCTTGGATGCTTCTCAATATTTGATCTTGAAACATCTCTGTGACTAGAAGACTCGAGACCGCTTTGCACACATTGTCAAAACAAACCTGATTGTGTGGTTTACAAGTTTATAATTGTGATCAATCTAATTTAGGTTATTATCTACCTGAAATCAAGAGGGAACAAGTGTAAGCTTTTTAGACAATGTGTGCAAAACGATTTCGAGAGCTCCTAGTACTATTCTTGACTCTCTTACAGTTACGACTGTATAACCTCCGTCCCTCTTTAGCACGACTCCAGGATTTCTCATGATGTTTGTTGATGTGGCACAGAAATCAATTGTACATATTGGGTCTGCTTTACGTATGTTATTTCTACGAAGAGGAAGTAAAATTGAAATCTAAAAGGCTATTGCATGACGAAGGCGCAGAAGCATTATTAGTTGAGCGGGCGCGAACGCGGCACGCACTTCTCCTCGCCGTTGTAAATACTGCGCCTCATGCGCTCTGCGGCTAATAATGCCGCGTTCGCGCCCAAAGATATTGCGCCTTCGTCATGCAGCAGCGTATAGCTTATTGTATTTCATCCATATAGGCAGCGCAGAATCCGCTGATGTTAGGGTCATTCTGGCGATTCTTTCGAAGCGAGATAAGTCGCTTGAAGTAGCAATACAAAAAGCTTTTTAAACATTTGTTTGGATTGTGTAAGGGTGCACCTTTCACGTTTTTGTATTGCAATCAAATCCGAAATCTCACACCTCACTGTCACTTTTGAGAAATCAGATAGAGTCTGTATGAAAAAGGCTTGTTAAGAAAGTGAACTACAAAAAGTTCATGCGACATAGGAGAGGTATCAGCAGTGCGGTGGTGATCCGATTTTTTGAGGATGGGACAATTTCTACGAATGAAGGTGCTTGTGCTCGTTCCGTCGCTGACTGCAAGAGCCCAAGGCCAAGTATCCCAACAGTCATGTTTGGAAGCTCGAGACAACTTTATGAATACGAGAAAACGGAAGATGCAAGGATGAACATAAGCACATTTTCCGATTTTTGTCGTTTGCGCCTTGACATTAATTGACAGGCAAAGGGAAATTCATCTCGTATGGATGCCAGCGAAGACTGGAATACCAGATTCGGCTGGAGCCATCAAGGGAGCATTATTTGATAACATATAATTCAACGAAGACTATATGTATTAGAATTAGTGCCAAACTGGCTAAGTAAAGCTTACACTAAATTAACACCTACCTTGACTTCAATCTTCCCCCTTTCGACGACTATAAACTGTTGGAAGAAGCAATGAAGAAGGTCGTGTGCTTGTTCGGATATCTGAAATTCGTTATTCTTGAGGAGAACCAAGTATATTAGATTGCATTACCTGAATTTTGTTAGCCACACCAGTGCTTTCCATTCGCGAGGCCATGTTGACCGTGTCACCAAATAGACAGTACCTTAAACTCAGTGGACTTTTCTAAATTTAGGCTACGCTTCGGAGCCGCCCGTGTTCCAGAGCTCTGCCAACGCCTTCCAACTCAGTGCTAGCGCCATGCCGGAACTCGCGTGATGCACCTCGTATTGATCTACCAACGTTCCCACAGTGCGCTAGCACGGCGCTGACATGGTGCTGGCACGACGTAGGCATGCCGCTGGCACACTGACATATGAACGCTGTCAATGCATATCAATTCACACTACCTCGGAGCGGCCAGACCAACAACTCCAGCGGCCACACTTCCGCTGTGGAAACCTATACGCACCATCATAACTTCTTCAGGTCGATGAGCGAGTTTGAAATTGGAAATAAACTAAAAGTCAAAGTCAATAATTTGACGCGTAATTGCTGTTCAGATCTTTTCTCCGCCTACCGCTCTCATTTTCAAAGCAATATCAGCAATATGCTGTACGTGATTGTTTCCATTTTCGTTAGGAACTCCAGAGACGATCATGTAAGCGTCACCAATGGTTTCGACCTTTACAAAAAGGTATTTGAATCTGTTGGAAATAAGAAAGGTGGAGTTTCCAATCCTGACCTTGTAGGCATCATGCTTGGCGATAATTGCATCGAAACCAGAGAACATATCATTGAGAAATGTGACAATTTGCAGAGGCGTTGATGTAGACGATATTTTTGTGAACCCTGAAAAATGTCAAATATACGTAATCGTCAAGGATTGGGGGTTTGTAAATTGAGGGGAACCTGACTTCAGTCAAAGAAGGAAATAGTAACAAACTGAGGCACAGGATAGAGGATGCCGTTATGGTTATGATGGAATTGTGATAGATACTGTTTACGTGCATCAGAGCCACAATGATGCAAACGTTGCCTACTATGGGTGAGGCTTTACAAAGCAGTGGTAATTTTAGCAAAAGAAGTGAACCAAGGACAAGCGAGCCTCCAGAAGTATACTGCCATATATTTTCCCAAAGCACTAGTGAACCAGCAATCTAAAGGTGCTATTTGGAAGAGCGTTCGCTTCGGGACCGCGCCGCAGTTTCCCGCTATGTGCACATTTTTGAATTGCGCTTACGATTCTTTATATATTAGATAGATTAGATAGATTAGATATGAAGTGAGACTCGACCAACCGTTGGCATTGCACCATCGTGACTTACAACCGGCAGCTCTCAATCAATATATCGATTTTTGGCTGCATTAAGCATTCATCTTCTCCACTTTGTTTCTAAGCAACTCGTATAACTATGTGCAGTTTTCTCTTTGGGAGCTCGATACTGCCTTATCGGGTGAAGCGTTATGTCGCCGATAGGGTCCTCGAGCGGGGACATCTACCACAAATCCTGCATCCCCACAATTACATTCCCTAACATTTATCTGCGCAGGCGGAGCTTATCTGCGACATAAAACCTCTATCACGTCCTATGTCTCCTTTATATATAAAAACAAACATCATGTTTTGACTAGTCGAACCGCTGATACACTTTCTTAACCAGTAAAGTTTGCATATCAAGAGGAAAATGATGAAATTGATTCAACCGCTTCTTCAATTATATCTTCCTCCTTTTATGGCTATTATATTGGCTTCAATTATTCTTCGAATGAAGGTAGAAAACTCAAAATCAAAAATTTGTTTTATAAAACAAGTAAGGGAGCTCATATAATAATGAGAACTTTTGGAGTGGTGAGTGTTCCCTATTTTTCGTCAGAAATCGCTCACCTCGAATATCAGAGAAAAGAACGGTTGCGCATTGATACAGTTGAGGTAAAACTGGCTTGCCCACTTTAAGATCTTCGGCGATACTCCTGAAGGATATTACAAATTAGAAAATCTAGGGTAAACTATTCAAAGGGACAGATTCTGGACTTACTTGGGAAGCATGCTGTTTAGAAGACGATCTGCTTGTTTTTGTGCCTCTTCGAGCAAAGCTGTACGATCACGGACCATGTTTTCGAGATTGCTTGTGTACTCCTCCATCATTTTCATCATTTGATCAACAAGTGATCCCTTTCCACTGCAAGATTTGAATTACTTATTGGAAGCAAACTTTTTTGAAAGGAACTCACGTTGAGCGGAGATTAGCATTAACCATGGTGCGAACCTTTTTGATATGAGGTCGCATTTCTGGAAGTTCCAGCCAGCATGCCTCTATACAAGATAAAAGCTGCAATTCGAGGATATCATGAATTTTATCAAAAAACTATTTGCAGCGTAAAACTTACTTGTAGATTATAACTTTCCGTCCCTTGTGATGAAGGAAATGTCGGCCTGATTAGCTGGTCGTCATCATTTGACATAGATATCATCTCCATCAGTTCTAAGAGGAAGCAACTTTATCAATATTCATAAAAATATCAGAAAACGTACTGGCTATGCTTTTGCCTCTTTCGTGGAAGGGCTGGACTCGGAACAAAATTTGGTATAGCACCATCCCGAGTGAGTAGATATCTGCAGGTTGAGAGCCTGGTGGTAGGGTTTTCCGCGTAACCAATTCTCGGATAATTTCTGGTGCTTGTTGTACATATTCTGAAAATGTTTGTCAATTTGTATTTACTTCGAGCTACACTGACAGTAATTTGTACGCAACAAGATGGTCCAGCAGCTATAATCATGAATTTCGTAACATTGGCCAGTTCTTGATGGGATTTGCTAAACTCTGATCGCATTAGCAACATTCTCATCTTAAGAGAGATGATGAAATTAAGCGCAAAATAAGTGAAATAAATACAGGGTGTCCCAAAAAAATGTATCGAACGTTTGATCGTTAATATCTCTCTTCCCAAGAAGTCTTTTGCCTTGCTTCAAGTACCGTTTTGTAGAGCTGGCTTCAACTTGGATTTGCATTATAGAACGAATCACTCATTTTTCTTCGTTACTGTAGGATTACGGTAGAAACTTGAAACATATGGTGTCAATGTGGAAAAAGCTGCCGTCTCAAAAATTTTCAAAAAAATGTGAAAGCTTGTGTATTGGGGTTTTTATGGACGCTGAGTTCAATACTCAACTATTCACAGGATTAAAAAGCCATCTAAACGGTGTAATCGTACTTTTTAGGAACATTGAAAAAATGGCCGCTATTGCTTACCTCGCATAATTTTTCAATGAAGCATCATAATAAGTTGGGAACTTTACAGTTATAAACAGCAACTCTAATTAGCCTAGTGTAAAAGCTTGCAGGCTGTTTTGTTTCCTTTCTGAGGCAAAATATGGCCTTTCATTGCTTAAAACCGTCTTTGAAGTTTCTACCGAAATCCTACAGTAATGAAGAGGGATGAGTGATTTGTTCTATAATGCAAATCTAAGTTGAAGCCAGCTCTACAGACTGGTACCAGAAGCAAGAGAAAAGACTTTTTTAGAAGAGAGATATTAACGATCAAACGTTCGATACATTTTTTTGGGACATCCTGTATGTTATACAATGCTTATGGTTAAGGGTTCATTCTGAATGCTGAAAAAGAGAAGATGTTCCATAAGGGCTTTAGACTGGTAAAAAAGATGCTGAACTGTTTTTTTTTTCATTGACTAGGGGTTCACTAAAATAGTCCGATTTTTTTAGACTTTGCATCAAACAAATTTGTTTGGTGCAAAGTCAAAGTGCAAAGTTTGATGCAATTCTAACTCATTCAGAATATTTGTTAGCAGTTACCCTAATTGATCATACATCTTGAGGCATCAGATTATCGCAATAATACTTTTCTCTATTAGAAATTAGGAGTGGCTATATCCGTGCTTCGACTTTTATCTACACCTTCATTAATACGTGAAGTTGATGAGAGTGACTATGAGTATGATTAGCGACCTTGAATTTCAGGTACAATCAAGTCGTTTGTCAACTCATTATAATATGTGTGAAACAAATATTGCGCGCGGTGCAACGTATGGTTCATTTTTGAAATCGTGACGACGGGTTGGCTGCGGTCTTTTCGCACACAGAAGGAGAAAACACCCATACAAACAGGCAACACTTCAGTGCTAAGCTCAGTCACTCCCATTACCTGAATACTATCATATGTAAGCAGAAAAACTATTTGAGTAGAGATAGAAACCAAGAATTAGGAGCGCGTGCGTGTTGCGCGCGGTCGCGCCATCGTCACGATTTTTTGAATCGCCTATACCGTGCACAGTATGTATTTCACGACTACCCTACGTCTTGTATGCTTGCAAAAAGTTACTGTCTTTAATGTGAGTTACTATTTCTTTACAGTTTGTTCCATTAAACTAGTGCCACTAGGCTTACAAGGAAAAGTCGTATTTTGCCGTCTTTGAGTGCAAGTTCACATACGAATATGCAAATGTCTCGACATGCAGCTTTATCTATCACAGGCGCTGCCATTGGTCCAATAGAATCTTCTGGCAAGCACAGCCTTGCATGCAAATCATAAGTTTTTCGCTTGATTCACTCATGGCGCTCGCAATGTAATCTGCTCATTTCCGGTAAGAGTGTGCAGTAAGAAAAACAAAGATATGATAGCGAAAAAAAATTTCCTCTTGCAATATTTCGATACTAGAGTAAGCTGCCACTACGCGCAGAAAGTCTATGCAACTTTTCGAGAATTTGATTGCTTGATTACTCCTTGATTCTGTAAGACCTTGCGTAGGTCAGTCACGTTTTTTAAGAATACTTGATGCGATCAACGCAAAAACTTATCCCCTTACACTAAGTTTGAGCCTCATTGAAAAAGTGCAAGAAAATTGATATAGGAGATCCGCCAGGAAAGTTGTAGATATCTCGTTCGTAATAGTACTCAATAATCCTCCCTCCTCTGCGTTGCAGCCCTTCAGTCGTAAAATCCAAAAAAATGGATTAATCGATGATTGCAATCAATAACTGTCTAACAATAAGATTAGCTTGATATCATTCGCCTCAAGACGAAGCTTGTGTGCAGTAAGTAGAGACCACACACTTCTTTCTGCTACATTACGACTTTCATAAAAATCAGGCTAAGCAGAGAATGCGAACAAAATTGATAAACTGGTAGGAGTCACTCTTTTATAACAAAAATAGATAGCTTGTTAGTTCTCCTGAAAGTTCCGTACGAAGTTTGCGCCTGCCTTTCAGCCTAGATTTCGTAATTCTTTCTAAAGGGCATTTGAAAAATCCTGACGATGGCGCGACCGCGCGAGACACGCACGCCACTTCCGGAAATCGCATTTTCTTGGTTTTCTATTCTAGTAGAATGCTTGTTTGCTTGCTGTGGTAATGTTTAGACCCTAGAAGTGACTGTGCTGAACGATGAGATGGTGCCTTATTATATGAGCGTTTAATGCTTCTGTGGGCGCAAAGTCCGCAGTAAAATCCGTCGTCACGATTTTGAAAATGAACTATACGTTGCTAGTGAGAATAAGGCTAAGCCATATTCTAGTTTTGAATGTAAAGCATCATGCTAATGTGCTGCTCTATACTAAGCCTTAATGAATACTTGGTAATGCTCACGAAGGACTGCCTGGGCGTAGCATGAGCTGAGAATGCAAAAAACATGAGTGGGAAGAGGTCCATAGATTCATGTTAATAGAAACTTACTATGCAAATCATTGAATACTGATTTAGCGTAGCTGTATTTCATGGCGCATAGTTTCAAATCGTGAAAGGCTTACTTCTGTCTGCCAGACGATCTGCTTCATCTTCGCCCTCATCTACGATGAGCTTGATCTCATTGTGGTACAGTTTCTCCGAGATGATCGATTCTGTGCCAAAATTGGTCAGTTTCACGGTCCAATTCGAGTCAACAAGACAGTTTTGCAGACATAACATTCCATGGATGAGCAGAGGAGAGCTATGCAAGAAAGAGAGCCCCTAAACAAGTTGAATCCTAATTTTATTTGTTATCGTGAATGTAAAATCATAATGAGATCGTTAGATTTAGCTGTAGATCGTGCAGTCACACTCTTCTTTTAAAAAAGCCCCCATTTGCAAGAATTACTCACCTTTACAACATCCTTGGCAAAGGCAACTTGAAAGTTTCGTCCAAGCTTTAGCTCCTCGTTGAAGAGGATATCCTAAAATACTGTGGTATCTGAACGATTATTTTTTGAACAGTATTTGCTGTACGAGTTAATTGCAAAATGCAAAAGTTAATTGCATTGTTTCTTTGCAGCAACAAATGCAAAGATGTAAACAAGACACTTAGTGCAAATCATAAAAAATCACTCTTTTTCTTTGACTGTAACGTGAGGGAAAGCTTTCCTAACTAAGGGTGATTTAGAGTTCCAAGTCGATTTGAAGACAGCAATTAAATGCGCTTTCGCCCGTTTCATTAAGCAAAAAAAGACGGACTTTTACTGAAATGAACTCTAATCACACAATGATATTGAAACTTAGATCGAAAAAATGGTAAGTTTGTGTGTTTCGCAAATGCAAAGTGACTGCTCCAGTATCTGAAAGTACGAGGATAGAAAATGTTCGTCAGGTTCAAAAATACGTATTGCTGACAATCATTGACGAAGTAGGCTAAAGTTCAAATCTAACAACGTCAGAATTTGATTATCAAAAGGTGGTTTGCATTAGAGTTGTAGACCTATCAATAGAGCGCTCGCTTGTGTTGTAAATCTCACTTTTTGAGCCTTTTTACAAGCCAAAATGAGCAGGTATTTCGACTTTGCTGCCTTGGCAATGAATCTCTTATGGAGGATTCTTACAATTAGATGCATTGTGCTAGGTTTGTACCCCCCGCATGAAAGTTCATTCAATCCTACTTTGAGTTAAACTTCATCTTCCCCACTATTCCGAGGACCTTTGTAGGATAACACACCTCGAGACTTCCGCGAGTGCAGAACACCCACAAAACGATGAACTCATTCTGCTGATTGAAGCAGATACCATAGAATTTGTTGAGATTTTCATTCTCCGTTAGTTTGAGCTGCAAATGTGACAGATTAACGGCTCAACTTTTTGCATATAATACGAACCTCTTTTAGAAGTTTTAGTTCTGCTTTCGGGAATGTAATGTTTCTTATTTGCTGAAATCGCTTCATTGCCAATCGCACTCCATTCGATGTCGCTTGCTTAGCCGAAACTACGTTCTTTGATCCCATACTTCCAGAAAAAGATCCAGAACTTTGAGATTTGCTAGCAAGTGAATGCTCCGATCTCTAAAAAAGTGTATTTACTTTACTTTGTGGAAAAATCAATGTATTATGTTGTTATTTTGCCAAAATACCGATTTACTGCTATCCAAAAGTCGCACGCTGTCTCTAGGTATGCGCCATGTCATATCATACAGTAACCGTTCTTTTCTGAAACGTACAGGAATAAATAAGTGTTCACCACGAGATGCCACTTACTGTTTAACGTAAACAAAGTAAGACAATGGTGCGATGGTAAGCAGAAAAGCAGCTACACCAAGGAGCACGAAGTACGTGGTGTAATCGCATAATGATCCTGTGAATCCACAAGAAGGTACAGCTTTTGGCAGTTGCCCGCTTGGAGAGGACCAGTAAGACTGAATGACTTCATGGGCCACCTGAAACGGTCCAAATAAGAAAAGTTGAGTTTTGAGCAAAAATCCGGATCGCTGACATGCTCAGAGCACTGCTCGGGATTCCTGTCACACTCTGCTCTTTCAACATTCTTCGCTTCTAGTTCGACGACGATTCGCAGGGTACCGTTGGTGGTGTGGTAGGTAGCGTAGCTGGGTACGCGAATAGCTCGGTTATTCATCAGAACTTGGCCAGTAGCTCCTGGAAGAAACAATTATTTCCTCATATTAATCGACCGAGACGGCCTTTTCGCACGACAGTATTCCAAGCCCCCCCCCCCCCTCCCCGCTTGATCCGCTAGTTTCTCCTTTACCATTTTTTGCTTAAACAAGAACCCCAGCAGAGAGTGTCGCGCGCAACGGCGGTCCTCTACGGAATTCTACAGATACGGTTGCGCAAAATGGCCTATCCCCTTAATCATTACAAATTCTTACCGATAAATTGCCTATTCGTCATTTTCGACCAAATAAAGGATCCGTTGTGGTGCACATCATATCCTCCAATTTCCTCGTAAGCATCGCGCAGCGCCAGACCGTACAGGAACAAGGCGTCATAGAGAGACATGTACGCCAAAGTGGCGTACTAAAAGCTCAGACTTAACTCTTAAAACTTTCCAATGTCGGAAGATTAGGCCTTGACTCACATGGCTGCTAAGCATTCCTGTTGCCTGACTAAATTTGGTTTGGAACTCTTCGAAGAACTTTCTGTCGTATCCATGTGCAGTGATGATGATCACGTTCTCAAACGCTGCCTTCACCTCTTGCTTGTCAACGTTGGTCGCCTCCCATGGATAGTGATCTTCCAACTGGAAAGGGACAAAGTAGCAATACTTTCAATTTTTGATGCTGATTTGCTTCAGAAGAAATGAATTACATGTGCTAGCCAAGGAATAATGTAGACAAATTCATCAGATTTCATCTGACTGCGGTGAACAGCTAGCATGAAATTAGTAGCGGAATTGATGTCCATTCCCATTTCGACGATTATAACTGCAGATCAGAATTCAACTTTTCAAGTACAGCACGTAGATGAATGACTGACTTCTTGCATTGTTTCGGAGTTGTTTCAGCCCTCCAGAAGAGACGATCTCCTCGACAGAAGCGAATGGATCAAATTCAATTTGAACGTTCACTTTAACATCGCGTTTCTTGAGCAAATGTAATAATGAGTGCATTGATAGTCGTTCGAAGTTAACTGAGGCGCGAACGAAGCCGACCTGCAGATAAAAATGCATGATATCATGTTTATCTTTTGTATCACTTACCTGATCCCAGTTGTTCAACTGCAGATATGTCAGAGTAGCACGAGCCATCTCGCTGGCCGACGTTAGAGCTACGGATCCAAGAGTGGGAAAAACGGAACGATCGCTAAGGGCATCATCTCCAGACATGTGCGCAATGATGGGGACATTCCATCTTGGTGCTAGCTTTCCAATAACTAACATTTCTGTAATTTGGGCATGCATTAGGTAGTCGGATAATTTCTGTTGCACCATTTGATTCTCAAAAATTCTAGATTCCTCGAAAGATTTCGCGTTCACGGCATGAAGACAGGATCAAAAGGTCCATCTATCGGATTGTCGCTTCCGTAGTGCGCAAAAGATCCACTTTGTTTCTTGATATCCGTTTTGCTCCCATATTTAAGTATGAGTTATCATCTTCCAGGTCTCAAGTAAAAGACTGGACGATGTAGTATTAAGGCAGGGCATCTATAGTGTTTAACAAATATGGGGGGGGGGGGGGGGAGGGGGGACACAGACTACACACGTCGGAGCGGTTTAAATGTCAGTTGCGCCGTTTTTATAATCATTGACATTCACAAAGGAAAGTCCTCAAAAAATTCAAATTAACACTTTGAAGCCTTCTGTGTTCAATTCTATATGATGCACATAAAAAGATATATTTTGATAAAGTGAATTTTTTTAAATTTTTTTACCTCTCGTTTTTGAAACGCTAAACCAGAGTTTCCATGTAAGAGAGAGAGAGAGAGTGCCAAAACACATTCTCAAAAATTTCTAGAAGAGAAATTAGTAAGTGCAGAGAAATTGAAAATTTGGGTACGTTCACAAAACTGCCGTAAACTTGTTGGTCATTCGTGCAATAGCGGTATATCATGCTGTTTGGAGACCCTGCTATGTCCTAAGAGTGTCGCAACTTCAAACTTTTGAGAAAATCTTCTGGAATTTTCCAGAAAAATTAGGGAGAAGTGTAGCAAAAATTATCCGACAACTTAACACGAGTGATCGTTTTTCACGCATTCCCATGTGAACGACACTTTCTGCAAGCGCTTCCTTCCATTTCCACCACGCTAGTCATCTAGATGTTTTTGAATAGATTGAACTCTTCAAACTACTATTTACTATTATATGTCCACTAACTGTCTAGCATAACATACATATGTGTATGCCATAAAACCTGTACCTGCTAGGCTCATATCCACTCCATCTCCTAGTTAGGAAATGATACAAATCCAAACCCGGGGCTATGCTTGGCCTCAAGGCATCTCTGCCGTCATTACTTATCATAAGGGTTGAGCGCGCGGTCAGCCGTACCCGACTTGGAGAGGGAGGCGGGGGGGGGGGTCGTATTGGGGTTAGGACTGAGGAAATGGAGTCGTAATTATGAATCGAATTTGTTCAGTTGGGGAGATACTACGGTCAAGGTGAAGAAGAAGAGGGATAGTCCGGTGGATATCGCAGCCTTACCGTACTGAAGGGATGACGGTCGTAAACAGCATACTAATTGATTCCACAATCAAAGTTTCAGCCGAAAGTCAAATCTTCATCTTTTACCTTGATGTATCATATCATTAAGGAAGCTTGCTGTAAAAAATGGGTATTTTCGTAATAAGCATGTCAAACCACCTCTATGAACTCCACAAACCATTACCTACTGCATTTTCTAGTGTCTCTCAACCTTGAAAGCCTGATTTTCCATGACTAACTTGGTTTCAGTAGTGAAAATAGTGAGCTTGTTTGCACTTATAACAAAGTAACATTCCTTAAAAGTCTATGCTAGATATCAGGCTTCATATCTCTTTCAAATAGTGGAGTAAAGTGCTGCCGAAATTCCAACTGGCACATTTTTCACCTTGAGTGCTTTAACTCCACGGACTATCACAAGGCCGAAATAAGTCTAATTGAGCTCAAACACTTATTGTCCAATCTGCGAGTGTTGTGCTAGCGAATCACATGAAACTTGGGTAGAAAAGCTTCCCAGGAGACAAAGTTAATGGGGTTAGGCGCAACCCCTTAGAGTCAGGCTGCCATATCTTAGATTCTCCTTGCTACAGTGAAAATTGGAGCCAAACACTCCTATGTGAGGAAATTTTAGCGCTGGAAAGAGGCCTATCGAGATCCAATATTTGCCGTCACTTTGCGCATGTTCTTGATATCGCAGAAAGTCGGACCTACACTTTCAAAAAACAGAAACCCTCCAGTAAATGATCTTCTCCAAAATAACACAGCCTGAGGTCTGGGAGGTAAAGCGGAGGGGTAGTTTAGGAATGTCACGGGGGGGGGGATCGTTTTTGTCTGACCTCTTGCTCAACCCTGCTTATCATCGAATCTCTCAGTTTTCTCTGTTAAAGGAGGACTCCAAAGAAGATGAGATTTTGCTGTAGTAAATGTAAGCTCTCCTAAAATCAGTTCTAGACGGGTTGCCATCTTGACCTTAACATCGGAGGCAGATGGATAGGCATTTTTTGATTGAGGATTATAATTTAGACTTGGCAGTTTATAAATGAGAACTGCGGAGGTTTCCAGGAGAGTTTAGGACTACAAACCGAGTGCAATCTCATACTCAATCAGGCTTATGATCGTCCTGTAACCTTTTTTGAGATTCGCTTCTTCCACAAATGATGTCTTTCACGGATTTGCTGCAGCCATCCAGAGTTTGCCAAATGTCTAGGAAAATTAATATCTGCTTATTTCAAAAGTTTGAATATTATGTGCCTAGGATGGATGTTTGCGGCACAAATTTTTTGGCTGTTCTAACACTAGGAATTGCAAAGATTCAAAAGAAACCATGTTGAATGAATGCTTGACTCTAGAAACCTAACTTCTCTAGCTGAAATTAAATTACAATGTTGAACCCACATACATATTTGGACAAATGTCGGAGACTATACAAATATACAGAAGAACAAAAAGCATGTCAATTTTATGACAGGCAGTAGAATAATTTTGCTTTTTGATCATCTTGCATTCCAAAAGAAGCGAAATTTTACTTTACAAAATTGGGTCCAGGTAAGGGAAAAATACCAGATGTCACGAGAAAAGAGGACAGATTTGTGTATTGTCTCACAAACGCTCAAGGAGCTTACCGTTATTACATCCTGGGCCAAAGTAAATGGTAGCATTCTTCATGTAATGTAAGTAAGCAGCATGCTCAACTCCAGAGAACTTGTTGCAGCTTTCCATTGTCATGACCCTGTAGATAATTCGGATACAGGATTATCGGAAATACAGAGTGTTAACGTGAGACTAACGTCAAAGTGTAGTTGATCGGAAGGATCTTCCTCTCCTTCAAATCTTTGGCACACATTTTGAGAATCTCCGGCTCATGTGCAATGTTGGGATTGTTTGGCTGAAGATGACCAATTCTCACGACTCCTCCGGATCCAGCCAGACGCTCGGCGTTGAGCCTGGCCGTCGTCGCCAACTGTCGCGCATCAGGCACCAGACAAGACAGGAGCAATACCACAAACCGCACCTTGGCGCTTAAAGTTCGCATTCAAGTTGGATGAAAAATTCTCACACTCCTCCTCCCAGAAGCTTAATCGAACTTTCCACATGCAAAGAGATTGATGGGCTCCCCCATGTAGTTTAGATAAACAAATTATGATAAAGAACGGAATTCCTAACCATCATGAGTTTTTTTTTATTAAAGTATGCCTATCAGGCAGTGTTTTTGAATTATATATATCATGTAGAGAGCGCGAAATCTCTGGGAATGTGTGAATCTGCCAAGCTCTATGCATGATACCTTTAACCCGGATGAGCTTGTGAAAATGTTCAATATTTGCCAGAAAAGTGACATGCTGATGGAATAGGTGAAAGCGTGAACACATTTCAACAGTGCTTTGTTTGATTGCAGCACTTTTTCATTTCGTATAGCAGTCCGGTGCCGGTAGGGTTATTACGGTCGAGATTATGGTCAAGAGGTATGAACGTTTGCACAAAGTAGGCAAAGGGACCTTTCTTAATCTGCACGCGCTTATAGAAAAACATTAAAAAATTATGAACCTCTCAAAAATGCGTTTGCAAAGACTATTCTTTAGGAGTGTCCCATAATTTCTTTCCTATCTTACAAAAAGTCCTTGTGCTTCTTTTCTCTAGTGAGTGCATCTTGGGCTACCATACGATGAAGCAGAGCAAGGTCTCAAGAGTGGTCACCAAGCTCGTCTATATCTTAGACCAAAATTTATAGCCAAATTGTGATAAAACTCAAAAACGGGATTTAGCTCAAATCAGTGTATCTCCGTTCAAAAGCGTCCTACAGATTCCGAGTTCAGCCAAAGAACTACTCGACATATCAGACATTCATAATAGAATTTTCCCTTCCTAGAAGTGAAGAAAAAACTGGTTGGGTTTGCCCCAATTATTCTGGCTTCCTCCCACACCGAGATTAAAGCATACACTATGCTTTGAGAAGTACGACTACACATCAGGTCGGTTCGAAGTTTCTGTCGTTTGATTTTCAAAAATTTATACCTTTGTGACTAGTTCAACGGATTTGCTTGCATATGATTTTTTTTTAGAAAGAATGTGTCCTTCGCTTTCATATGCTGTCTTGTGTACCTTTTGTTTCACATTAAATGCAGAGATAAATATGGAAATGTAAGGGCATATAAGCTTCGACCACACTAAGTTGGGTCACCAAAAATCTGCAACGCTGCAAAAAATGTGAAATGACCTACTTTGTTCAGATGAAATTTGTGCTCTTCGGTCTCTCTGTGAAAAGTTTTGATTCTCAATTAATTAATTTTGGCGTTTTCTATAGTAAACTTCAAATCCATAGCTCTTCACAGAGACGTTAAAACAGCATAAACTCTTCACAGTTGCGAAGAATTGGCCAAAAATTTTATGTACTGACGGTTTCACATTTTTCTGAGCGTTCCAGATTTTTGGTAGCTAACTTAAAATGGCCAATTTCACATGGTTTTGGTTTTTCATTTTTTCTAGACAAGACAGCATTTGGAAGCGAGAGCTTTTCTTCCTAGAAAAATCAGAGGCCAGCAATTTTTTTGAAGTAGCCACAGTTACAAATTTTTGCAAATGGAACGAGAGAACTTTCGGACTGACCTAATATCTGCCCGTTGGGGTGCTCAAGCTGCCAAGATGTATTCATGATGTTGAAATCAAAAAAAAATTTATGGGGTGACTCATTAGTATTGACGCCGAATTTTCTTTTGTGTTGCTGTACTTTCCTTTGCCCTCTTCGATTAGCTCTAAGAAATTCCTTGAAATCTTTAAACCTTCAAGATTAGGAATGTTCGTATAATTATGAACCGCACTATACAGGGTGTCCCAAGAAGATGTGCACACTGTTTGGTCGTTAATGAATCTTCAGCTTTCATGTCTTTTGCCGAGTTTAATGTGCCATTCCGTAGACCGAGGTTCAACTTAGATTTGCTGTGTGGAGCTAATTACCAGTCACTCTTCATTACTGTATATTACATATGAACTTCCAGCATACAGCGTCACTGTGAAATAGGCCTTTTGATGAAATAATTCCAAGAAAATCTGATTGTATGGCAAGGTTTTCAGGCGTGCTGATTTCACTACATGACTTTTGATGAGTTTTTCGAGTTTTATTGATGGCGCATTCACATTTCTGATGAACATTGGAATAACAGCTGTTACCCTAAATCTGAAATAACTTATTATAAAAGAAGCGCTATACTAAAGTGCAAATTTCATGTTTGGACTTTGAGTCTTCGATTAGCCCATTCAAGAGTTTCTGGCTTGTTTGAGTTTCTTTCTGAGGCAAATTACCGGCAAAATACCGCTTTCAACAGCTTGAAATTCTCCTCGAAGTTCCGACCGTGATCTTACAGTAAAGACGAAGGATCGGTCATTCGCTCCACGCAGCAAATCTAAGTTGAACCTCGATCTACAGAATGGCACCTTAAACTCGGCAAAAAAGCATAAAAGCAGGAGAGTTATTAACGATCAAACAGTGTGCACATCTTTTTGGGACACCCTGTCTATGTAACACTATTACACAAAGCAATTGTTGAAATGTTTCGCTGTATTTGCGGTTAGTGATCTATGTGATCTGAGGACTCCTCAGTTTCTCTTATCTTACGCATTATCATGTAACGGTAGTGTTTCGCAATGTCAGCAAGTCTTATGCGATTCAGGGATTAACAATTCACAAACAGTACTTGTTTGATTTAGTGACAAATCAGTGCGAAAATAGCAAGAATGGAATTTCAAAGACATCAGATAAGAGCTCCGACAAGAATTTGCGACATTAATAGTGAACACCATTTTCAAAATAATAAGCAGTTTTAGTGATCGATTAAAATACACACTAAGACAAATCTGAATAGAAACAACTGGAAGCTTTTGCTTAAGCGCCATAGAGTGAAACATGGATGAAATTATTTTGAAGAAAAAAAAGTTGCTCTAACTCACCCGCAGATATGGTACATGGTAGTTCAAGTTTAAAGTCGCCAATTGGGCAAAGCTTTTATTAATGAAGTCTAGATGTCAGCTCTGCTTACAAGTGATGAATGAGGTACGACTGAAATCTTCACGGGGATCCAGTGAGCACGCGACGATGCCCGGAAGAAGCGAATCGGATGCGGCCTAATGGCGACGTTGACTTAACTCTACACATTAAGCGATGTTTTTATCGAAATGAGTGCTACTTCAAGCTGTTTTCACGCAATTTCACGGGTCGTATTCATCCATGGGTTTGCAATCGTTGTTCCGGTAATAATAATCTAGATTCATAATACTAACATGGTTATGCTAATTTATTTACGTGCCAATAATTTCTGGAGTATGCATGCATCTCTAAATGGATTCCTTCATCTTGCCTGAAGACACAAAAATTATGGTAATCAATCAAGTTTTATGGATATCTATCATAACATTAGTGGTCACGCAATAATGTCGACGGCAAAGTCGAGACTTCACTAATTGATCACATTAAGTGTTGTTCTTATTTTATGCACTTCAGTTATACCGGTGGAGTGCTTGTGCACCTGAAATTTTAAAGAGTAACCATACCCACCATCATCCATGCTTTGCAGATTTAGGGCTTTAAGGGCTTGGTTTAAGAACCGAAGTATTGATATGAAAGCCAAAGTTAGGATACCAAGCAGTAAAGTTAAAACTTTGTGGAAAGCTGAGGTCTCACTAAGAGTTCGTCAACAGCCTTGAACATTCATAGCCTCGTCAAGAACATTCTCTAATACACAGTGCCACTATGTGAGAAATATGGATGGATCTATCTTTATAAACAAGTTCTAAACTTTCCTTGTATGCACAAAAATTCTTGTGCATAATGATGCTCCAGATAGATTAACTGGGGCTAGAACCTCGCTCAAGAACAAGGGGTTGAGTGCTGAGGTTTGCTGACTAATCTTTGGTGTGATACGCATTTATTTGGAGGAAGCGCTTCAGAATGTTCACTTGTTTGCCACAAATGCATCACCTTAGTCCAGATTCATCCTTGATAATTTCCATCCAAGTTCAAATTTCTCAAATTCTTCATGTTAATGCAATATCTCCCGTCGTCAGCTAGAAGGTCAAGTATGTTGAAAGCCAATATCCTAGCTTTGGAAACATACCCAGGCAAATACCGTAACTGTGCTAAGGTTCAGACCGATGCTTTTGTCTAACCTTACCATGTACCACTCTTTCTCAGTGGACGAATTCACTCTGTGTCCGCGAGAAATTGGGCTCACAATCAGACATGGCCGGGAAGTCTCGGCGGCAAGTAGAGAGTTTCCATGAACTTGCCAGAATTGGGCTTTCAGTGAAATTGGCCTTCATAAATATGATGTGTATCAGCAGATTCGGTACTGTGTTGTGTTGTGTTGCTCATTATTTGCACTTCTACCAAACTTTCCCGCTCATCAGCGCTCGTCAACGCCTGTTCACCCAGGAGAATTGCTGCGGGTTGTACGTGCTGGAGGACGCATCGCAAACTAGACCTTAAACACCGTCCACTCAGATTCTCGACTTCCAGGTTTTTGTCGTTTCAGGGCCTTGACTCCGGATATGAAGTCAATGCGCGAAAACCCCGACAATCCCCGTTCCGGGGAACCCGACGGCTTTCCGGAACGGTGATTGGATGGGCGCGCACAAATGGGCGGGCATGGATTGGGGTCCTTGTGCATCTTCGCTATTGCGAAGTGGTTTTCTCGCTTCCAAAGCGGCATTTTGCGCCGCGACTTGGGCATTGGATTGATAGGGGGCCATACTATTATAAGCTGCCAAAAGCTCAACACCCTCAACATAGGGTGGACGGTGCCTTTAAAGGCAGTGGCTCGGCAAATCCTCGACCTGAAGTTTTTTTGCTTACCTGGGCTAATTCGACGCGCGGATTCCGAAAATCCATCTTGAAGAGCCGGAAAACGACGAAAACCAGCAATTCTTAAGGCCCCTTATTTGGAACCTGGACGAGTGAAACACTTCCCGCAATGGTTGGAGACGTAGAGTCGCTTCGGGACCCTTATGTTCATAGCATTGCGGCATGCCGCCTCTGACGATGGA